CAGGGGGTTGGGCTGGGTGACCCACAGAGGGCCCTGCCAACCCCGACCAGTCTGTGATTCTGTGAGATAATATATAAAATATAGTAGTTATAAATAACTCAGCAGGATCTTCAGTCACCCCTGGGTACACCGCTAAGGAGGAGATGGTTTGGTGCTAAGGACGGAAATTTCTACTGCTGTGCAAATAATGGAATTAATTTCTTTTTTCCTGCTCTGTTAAAAGAAAAGAAAATAAAGGGGGAATGGAAATTAATGTACTCGGAGCAATGGGCAAAGTGTAAAAGCCTGAGAACCTCCCTGTTCTTGCTTGCTCATGTTCCTTGCTTTGACTCAGCATAACTGACAGTCTCATAGAAGACACTCCAAAGACAAACGGAGGGAGAAGCAGATTGCAGCCCTCTCACAACAAAATCTCCTGTTAATCATCACCGTGAGGACAAGCTGTCTCCTCGCCAGCAGTCTCAGTGCTCCAAACTGGCTTCCCTCACCTTCCACGCTCCTTGACAAGGAAAGCTCAGGATCTTCTTCCACCAGCGTTCTTCTTTGTGTCACCCCCGTGATTTTTGTATTTCTGGCTCATTTCGGTGGCCTTGGAAAGTGTTTGCCTCTGATGTGCACCACGGCAGTAAATGCCCGGCCACATCTGAGGCAGTCATCACGTGCAGGCTCTTCTCTGGGAGGTAACACGAGTTATGGGATGGTACAAGGCAGGTGAAGTCCAGTTTCTGGAACGATGGTTTACAAATATCAAATCCAGTCCCAGTTTTTCGCCATCACTTTCAAGTGCCGCTAGAATTTATATTCTTAACCCTATGAAACAACTTATTTAATATTTTAACCTCATGAAACGACTTATTTAATTCTTTAACCCCAAGATTACTTGGTAATTTTACTTTCTGGACGACTGGTTGTGGAAAGCAGCGCTACAAACCCGCCGGGAAGCGCAGGTCTCTAACGCAGCGGACCTTTGGTGCTGTTTCGCATCTTCAGGATCCTCCAAGGGTGTACGAAAAGGCAGGCTCCTCCTGAAGGATCCAGCAGAAGCTCAGGTTAACCACAAGGCATTTAATCGGCCTGGTTTGTTTCAGGTATTTGTACAGCTGCAGAGAAATCGTCTTACGCAGAAACACGTCTGGAAGTCTTGGCTTCAGCATCGTCGGGGGTTACGAGGAACACACCGGGAGCAAACCCTTCTTTATTAAATCCATTGTTGGGGGAACACCAGCATATCATGACGGCAGAATTAGGTAATGATAATTACATCTAATGAAAAGCAGCATTAAGTAAGCCTTTCATCTAGTCAATTTGTGATTTTTATTTAAAAAAAACAAGTTTTGCACAAAGGCGGGGGGGGGGGGGGGGGGAAAGGACTCATTGATACAGAACTGACTCCACCAGATTTGGAAACAGGACGTAACTGTCCTGAACTTTAATAGATTTGCCTTCATAGTAGAAGATTTTCAGATGTCCAGCCATCACTAGTGTATGAGTAAGTATAAAGAGAAGTCAGTTTTATCTCTGGGGTAACACAAAGCACGCCAGCACAGAGCAGCTTTCCCCCATCCCCAGCTCAAAAAATCCCCACCAAACCCCCCCCGAC